CGTTGGCGAGCGGCAAGCTGCTTTAGCCCACCTTCCTCACATCTGAGAACCTCTGTGAAATCCTAATCCCCAGAGCAGGGTGAAGCGCGGGCCCAGCTTGCCTGACCTCTCCGGTTGCCATGGATACAGCGCACTATAAATAAAACAGAGGGGCTTTTTTTTTTTTCCAAGCAGTTTGGCAGGGCTGCGTGGCCTGCACGCTGGTGGGGTTTATTTTCTCTCTCTCCCTCGCTTTCTCTCCCGCGCTCTTGTTCCCTATCGCTCCATTCTTATTCTACACCTCCTTTCACTTCGACTCTTCATCACTGAGTGTCCGTCTTCCCTTTCCCCCCGCCTTCTTATCGGTGTCCATTCAAGGCTTCCACTCAGCCTCTCAAACCATAACGCCTGCCCGGTGACTTCATACTTGTCCTCCGTAGGCCTAACCGGTTAGCACTCGGTACGAGTGACCTGAGTGGCAACTTGGTCGAGATACGAGCTGTCATTCGGCAGATTTTTTTATTTCTTTTTTTTTTGCTTTGCCTTGAAAGCGGAAACTCTATGGGGGCAATGAACTCGACTCAGTTCACAGTAAGCAGCAGTTTGGCAGAAAGTAGAGGCTTGAAGTTGTTTGATGAAACTCCCCGTTGAAGGCTATTGTCAAATTAAACATAAAACAAAGAGAGTTACATGTCGTGTCCTTAAAACAACCGATCAACTTTGCCTTCAACATAGCACTGCTAGCTTAATGCTAACCTTTAATGGAAAATGCTATAGAAAGGGATGGGCAACTGGCGGCCCGCGACGACATTTTAAATGGCCTCTTCTTTAGTTTATTTCAATCATTTAAAATTATTTTTTTGATTATTTTTACAAACCCAAATGATTTAAAAAAAAACACTGTTAAACATTCAAACACGTTTACCATAAAAAATTGGGAAAATGTTCGGAAAACAAAGCCCAGAAGAATTCTGGAACATGTAAAATTACTGAAAAAAAAATCTGCGAATATCCGAATCCGCCTGGTGCCAATATGCAAACATCCAGGGCGGACTGTAATTTTAATTTGTAATATCACCATTTACCACTAGGTGGCAGAAATGTATTGGTTGGCTGGGTCTTACACTACAACGTGAGTAAGCCTAAATTCAGAAATACTGTTGAGAGGCTAAAATTCAAGCAATTATATTTAATTATATAATTGAATGAGTTGCAGATTAATTGAGTCATCCTTGTACCTCAAAACTGAAGCATTAAACCGTGATGCACAAACTGTTTCATTTTTTTAATTCTATCGAATAAAGTTAAAACTCTACGTTAACAAAAAGAACAATGTTAAAGGGGCTATTTCCCTATTAAATGGACATTCCAAAAAAAATTGCATTCTAGGGGCAGGATTATTTGCAAGGCACCACTGAAGATGTTGAAACCGAGGCCTAAAAATAAGTGAGTTATTCCTCAGTGGCAGCAGGGAAATAATTTGGTCACGGTTGTGGGAGGTTGATGGGCGCGGGAGGCGTGTGGGGGAGAGAAGCTTTGAAGGGGGTTCGACGTTTGACCGTCTCGCTGCCACGCAAACATGCTTGACACTTCATTCCTTTCCAGTTAATGTGGAGCCGAGTGCAGGATGTTAACCCTCCGCCTGCCTTTTGATGGGCCGCGCCGGCTGCTCGCACCACTTCCTGCTTTCACAGCTCTTCATGGCAGAAGAAGACTGCGTGGTCGGAAGAAAAAGCGGCATCCACTTTTGAGCAAAATATTGGAATATGTGACTGTTGGGTGGTTGTCGTTGCTCAGATTTTGCCTTTTTTTTTTTTTTTTGCTTAAATATGAGATGATGCTTGTTTTTGGCTTTGGGTTTCACTTGCGGAAACTATATTTGCTTTTCGGCGGACATGAAAACCAGAGAGCCGCCGATGGGTGAAAAGCAAACCATTTCGATGAACAAACATTTGATCACATCATACTCACCGGAGATGCTGCTTTATAAATATATGAATGTGTGCAAATCGCTAGAGCCGTACCAGTTGAAAGTTGGCTGCGGAAACGGCCAGTGAGGCCAAATTTGAAATCTGATTGGATCAAGAAACAGTCCGTTGCTAATAAAGTTGAGCCAGCACTACCGCTTGTGAAAGCCATCGGCACATAGGACTGTCTTGGCTCCGCCCCTACATTGCTTGAAACTTGAATGTTAAGCCGAAAAACTTAACTTATGAATTGCACATACGCTATGTGACTTATGTTCATTTTCCACTTGTGCCTAATGTTCTGGCCGGTAACCGCGCATCAGCATGTGACGCGCGTCTACCTCAGCCGGGGTTCGACGTTATGAAGCAACGTGACAAGGGCGCTGTCCAAGCCAGAGTAGCTGTCACCATGATTTGAAAATTTGGCCGTCACACGCCAGACTGAGGTCTAAGCCACATTTCCTCTATGAACGACACGACGCCCTGGCACCCGCGAACATTTCATAACGTTGCCGGGGAGACGGAGGTCACATGAGAAGAGCGACCCTCGCGTCGGGGCGCTTTGCGCTCGGGCGACATTCCCGAGGATTAGAGTCACGATGTTGTGTAAATGTGAGACGCCGCCCTTGGCAAAAGACAAATATAGTTAAACTTAATGGGGCCAGGATGCGGATGGAGCCTCGTAGGAAAGTCGGGAGCGAAACGCGTCTTGCATGAGTATGTGGGAGCGTGGGCGCGTTGCGAATGTGTGTGTTGACGCCGGCCCTGGTGAGCATGGAGTTAATGCAGGCGGGGCTGTGGCAGTCCTCCTGCCCCTCAGCCAGATTAATCATGCAGGAGAGACACAGCAGGGCCCCCGTTCGTTCCGCCTCGGGGTGAAGCTGTGCCCGCATGCTCTCCGTATCACATGGCCCTTGCCCCCAGGGGCGAAGCGGAGCGGGCGGGGGATGGGGGTGGGGGGTGTGGGGGTTATTGACGGTGTGCTGGAACGCCACAGCACGCAGCGAGGCTTTTATTTCTTTTCACCACGCTTGCTTTTTTTTTTATCCCCTCTCTCATCCCTCGCTTTCTTCTCTTCCCTTCATTCGCCCATCTGTGAGTGTGAAGGAAAAAAAACGGAGAAACAGACGTTCGTCTCCCCTGCAAGGAGACAACAACAGCGTCCTTTTCTATCTTTTTTTTTTTTTTTTTTAATCTCCCTCCGGAGGGCCCTGACGACAGCAGGGGCCTGGCGCGGTGTGCGATGAAGAGGGCTAGTGTGTCGGGGTGGAGGGGAGGGCTGCCGAGGGCCCGGCCACAGATATCTCCTGGAAACAAGTCCACGACGTCTCCGCACGTCAGAGAACAGCCGCGGCCATTGTTTGGCTTTTTTTTGGGGGGGGGGGGCGACAGACGCGGCGGCTCGGTTACTTGAGCACTTTTCCAATAGTGTTACGTGACCGTGGAGGAACGTGATGTGTGCCGCTAGAAAATGAGGCTTACTCTATTGGTTGAGGCAGGGATGGGCAACTGGCAGGAAAAAAATCGTACAGGATGTCACTACGTGTCAGTTGACGAGACCAAAATGCACATTTTCAAACAATGACATTTTAACGTCGTATTCAATGGTCAGCATCGGTCGATACATTTCGCGAGGTTCACATGAATTCACGGCCACTAAATTCAACAGCAGACGCTGGCACTGACGTCATGGGCCGCGGCATCGATTCGCCAACAACATGAGGTCGGAAGACAAGGCGCACATTTCCAAGAAAGAGCACAGCGCTAACAAAGCATGAAGGCATGAATGTGGAAATTCAATTCCGTTTTACACAAGTCCTGTGTAAGCATCCGGGTCATCGCGTTGGGAGTTCAGAGAAGCGTTATGACGTGATGTTTATACAGACATGCATAATTTATGTGAAATTGAATGTAAATACATTGCGGCATATCGCAGCAAATTAATTGCAGACGATAAGGCTGCGTGACAAATCATAGCCTAAATGTCCAGATAGCATAATGTACAAATATGGCTTCAAGCGGTTGTGAGCAGCAGGTATGACATCAGAGCAATTTGATTGGCTGTTTCGCTGCCGTGACATCATTGCTTTTGCATTCATGATGATTTTGACTAGTGCTTGCTCTGCTAAATTTCGCAGGTGAGTTGGATGGAGCCTATCCAAGTTGACTTTGAGCAAGAGGGTGAGGTGTAATACACCCTGGATTGCTGGCCAATCAAACACGAAGCTCATATAGACAAACACCAATTCGCATTCAACATTTTCACCTGCGGAGAATTTGGTGAATCTTCAGTGAACCTAAAAAAAAAAAAAACCAACAACATGTTTTTGGAATGTGGGAGGAATCCAAAGTACCTGGGAAAAAAAAAAAAAACCCACGCAAGCGTTGGGAGAATATGCAAACACCACACAGGAACCTGTTGACTGTGAGAATGCAGATGTGCAAACCACTAACTGCTCACCATCGTGCGGCGAGATTAAAAATAATGGAGGAAACATCTTCTTTGTCCTAAACAAACCACATCCAGCATTTTGCTTTTGGTTTCATTGAATCACGACATATTTAACGCCAGAAAGCAGTGGATGGAATCATTTTTGCTATAAAGGGGCTTCCTCCAACAGCCATATTATTGGTGCGAGTCAACTTAGACTTGAACGACAAGACTTCACAAATCTTGTCTGTTAGTGTACATACGTTTAAAAATTTGCATTTTCAAGATAGTTTGCCATCTGTTTTGTTCGTGGAAGAAAAGTTTGATTTTGTGTTGTGTGTGTGTGTGTGTGTGTGTGTGTGTGTAGCGCATGCAAACCTGGTAGCCTGCAAGTATTTTGGAGGAATATCCAAAGATGAGTAGACTGGTCAACAACAACTTTTAATCAGAGATGGCTTACGTGTCCCAAAACATATTTCGTCCACACTGATTTAAAAAATGACTTTACTCCCCCCCCACCCCACCACCACATCAGGTTTTTGAGATATTTTAATTGTCTGCTTTTCTTCATCATTCATTCCGGAGTATTTTTTTTTCCTCAAATAAGGAATGCCCGCAGATCGTTTGAATTTTAAATACATCCATTTATTGCCTTTTTGATTCAACCACACAAGTTTGCCATCCGATGCGCCTCATCATCATACACAATGTAAAAAAAACGTCCATTACATATCACTGTCCCTATAGAATTTTTAAAAAAATGTATGAAAAAAAAACCACACTGTACAAATTTTAGTATAGTACTGAGACGTAACACTGAGCAGAGTCGGATCACTTGGCAATGACCATCAAACCTGCCAGGGTTTGATCCAATGGGAAAGGTTCGGAATTTTTGGCACCGTCATTGGTCTTCAACAGGCCGCGCGGAGGCAAGGCGGTCATGTGACATGCCACAATAACGCTCACTGAGGCGACTCCATTAAAGCAAGGGTCCCTAAGTACCTTATTCCGCCTCACAGGATAAGATAAAAAAAGAATACCACACGTGATCTAATGCAAACCGTATCACAACGCAACGCGACAGCCGCATCAGACAAGTAACGAGCGCATTACGTTCAAGCATTTCCATATTTGTGCTTTGGTAATGACCGCAATGTAACAAGAGTCTCCATTGGTGGAGTTGTCCTCCCACTGACTACTCCGCACGGTCCGTCATTGTCCAGTGTGGCTTCTCTTTGAGATGCTTTGGGTCAGCGTTGGGGATTACCTGACAGAAGAAGTGGTGGCGACGCACAAGTGGCTCGGCTTGGTCGGAAGTGGAGGCTTGACGCCGCGCAAGGGGGACTTCGGGGCGGTCGGACCGCCGCTATCGACGCTGAAGGTTTTCATCAACTGCGCCACTCGGCTGCGCCCGGCATTGGGCGGCATGCCCGCCGATGAGACCACCTTGACCGAGCACGCCCTGCCAGGCGCTTCCGTTGCAGTGCCTGAAAAACAGAACAATATTTGTTTTAGAAGGAGCTTCTGCAAATAATAACGAGCATTGCCGGTGTGGAGTAGTCCCATTGTTGTGCTACAACATGTCAGGCAGCACTGACATCGACTGGGAAAGAGGTAATTAAGAGCGAGAGGAAGAGGCAGAGAAGGTCCCATACTAAGCTCCCAGGTGTGTCCGCGCAGAAAAGAGAGAATAAATACCTGCGGATATTTTTGTAAGCCCTTTTTATGTGTCGTTTAAAATGATATAACGTCAATGCTAATTTCCGTTAGCCCGCCTATGGTGTTCGGCATAATGTTAGCATTAAGCTAGCGGACCGGAAATTATATCGTTGGGACAAACATTTTGGAGTTTAAATATACAATGTTAAACTCTCGGTTGTTTTATGGATAAGTTTGACGACTTTGCTGTGTTTTCATTCTTTTTTGGATTTAAAAATTTCAGTCACAACCACAACCACATAAGGGCCGCATATCGCAGGCATAACTTTTTGTTTTTACTTTCACGGAGCGATGCTAATGTCATTTTCCCACACTTTCTGCCGCCCAGAACACCATGGGGAGTATTATGGTGTCAGAAAAGGTGAAAATAAGTTGTTAAAAATATATTTTAGGAAAAGCAGAGCACAACGCAAGCCTTCCACGATTGTTCGGAAAGCTAGAATTCTTTCAGCGACTCGTTATATCATTTCCTCTTTCCAAATACTACGCGCATGGATCTTTCTTCAGTCTCTCGTATTTTTTTTTTTTGTTTTCTTTTTTTCCTTTCCGCTCGCCTTTATCCCACTCCGGCCGAGCAGAGGTCATCCTCCGCGAAAGTGCAGCGGGGACACAGCTGGCCGTAGTTTGTCGACGTGCGCTCGTTGAGGTAGCGTGTTTGAGAGAGGATGTAATTGAGGGAGGAATGGAGGGAACGGGCTCAAGAGAGGGGAGAGCGGGGAGGCAATGGAGAGCAGACAGACGCTGCTCAGACACCAGAAGGCTTGAGGAGCCACATATTTTTAGCGTCATCCCCGGGGGACGCAGATATGTGAGAGCGCGCCGGCGCGTGCGTGCCTGCTCCGGGTGCACGAGCAGCCTCCACGCACACAAAATGGGAGCGACAAGCATGCGTCTCCGTCGGTCGGGGATTTGAGGAGACACATTCTCACGCCACACAACGACGACGCCCACAGGCGGGCTTTTTCTTTGAAAAATGAACACACAAAAGTAGGTTGCGTGATTGTTTATTGTTGTTTACGCTTTACCTTCGTTGCTTTGCGCGCCTCCCCGCCTTAGTCTGACCTCTGACCCCGCCCCCCCCCACCTCCCCCCAGTTCCTGTGTTAATGTCCTCTCGCCCGCGCCGCATGGGCCTGCCCCTGATTGTCTCGTTGTGTTGTGCAGTCACCACGGAAACCTTGGGCAGGCTCCAGCAATTGAGGCTGACACACATTCAGGCACGCACCGAGCGCACAAGGCGGACGCACACGCGGATATACACACACACACACACACACACACACACACACACACACACACACTGAGTGGCGGTCAGAGTGTGTTTTCTGTGCTCGGAGCCTTGGTGCAGGTCTGAGTGGAATACTTAATAAACACCGAGGCAGACAGCAAGAAGGAGTTTGTGTTGATTTTTTTTTTTTTTTTTTTTTTAGCGTCAAGTAAGGTGACAAAATAATTCAAAAACAACACACTCAGTATGCAGTATTCTTGACTGGAGTCATCTGACGAACAAATAAGGAAAAAAAAACAAAAACAAAAACAGGTCCACATATAAACAACCAACCGTCAAATGCATTGATTGACAAATCGGCCAATTTAGATCTCTCCCTCCTTTGTGCGTCGGGGGACAAGGGGATGGTGGCGAGTGGGTGAGGGTGGTGGGCGTGCGGGGAGGCGTCGGGCTATAGCGCCACTGACCAGACTGGCGCTGAAATTAAAGACCAATCTATCTCTTTAAAGACCCGTCGTCAAGAGAGCGAGCGGGAGCGAGGAAGAGAGGAAGGAGGTGGGAGGTGGGGGCGGGAGGCAGAAGTGGGGCAGAGGGCAGAATTCCCGAGCAGCACGTCTGTGGACAGAAGGGCAGGGCGGGTGTGTGTGTGTGTGCATGCACGTGTGTGTGCGTGCACGCCACTGGGGCCCCTGTCACTTATCAGCACGGGGCTGAGCGTCGCCCGGGGCTAGAGTCGGGAAGCGGCGCAGGAATGTGCGTCCTTCCCTCTGAAGGTGAGGAGAGAAGAGAGGAAAGCCGACCCGGCTGACAGAGAAAGGAGGGGGGGTTCTAAACACCAGCGCGCGCGCGCACATGCGCTCAAATGCACGCACACATACATGAACGGTACACAAACAGTAGCCGCTACAGATGCTCCGCATCTGCAAAACGGATTATTTTAAGCAAACGCTAACACGTGGCGGATTGACGAACGTTTAACACGGCGGAGCCGCTAATCGTAAGCCTGCTGCGGGAAATGGTTATACAAGTGTAAAAAGAAGACGAATAGCAGCTACTGTACTTTTAAAAGGCGCATCGTGTCGCCTTGATATACGAGGGAGTCAACTTCAAGATGTCAAACTAAACATCAAACAAAGAGAAGTTACACTTTTGTGTCCGCTTAACACCGGATAGGAGGCAAGCTAAGAGGATGACTTCGCCGTTATTTACTTGGTGTTTCCAATCACCTCGTGTCATAGAGTTTATTCCGTCCCTGCGGACGGTGCATACAAGTGCTCTTCCTTTGTCCCAAGCATCTTTTGACACTCGCGGCTCACGTGACAGGTCACACTTCCTGCCGCGGGCAAACAGGAATGGTTGTCACGACCCGCATGCAAACACAAACAGCTGAGGCATTGAGCGTTGCCGGCCACCTCTTCCCCTCAGAACGAGCTTCCTGCCATTGTCAAGGACACTCGCATTCGTTCAGTATATTCCCTGTCCGGAGTGGAGACATATATCGGGCTGCGCGTACGGACGCGTGTCAACTACCTCCAGCCTGCAGCTGTTCTTCTCCACTTTTTCAGTGAGCGCCTGGAAATGCGGGTCTGCTCCAGACACATTTTTTTATAGTCATCTTTCGTCTTGGACCAGGAGTTGTCCTGAGTTCTGCCAATATCCACCAACTCGTTTTCATCAAATGTGGTTTTTTTGGGGGGGGGGGGTTGTAAATAATATCACTTTCCCAGCAATTGTTATTGTATCATTTTTGTCACGACTGACTTTGGGACACACTTGCAAAGCCACGCCGCTGTGAATAACAGCCAGTCTCTCTTAGCTATTCCATTACGTCTGATGTCGAGAGAAGAAAAAAAATGAGATGAATGTGATGTAGGAAGAGCATTCTTCCAGCAGAGGGATCGTAAGGAAACAGGCTCCCTCTCCAACTGGACTTTTCCTTCTACAGTATCATTGTTTTCCCACTTGGTGGTGCTAATTTCAAACTGACAAGCAGAATTATTTGGGGATGAGTCTTGCCTGGAGTGGAGAGAATTTGCTGCTGCTCATACAGGAAGTCTGCAAAAGGAACTGTCAAGTCTGTTCGCCAGCCAATCACAAGGCACAAATATCCAAACAATCACACGCTTACATTTACCCGTATAGACTATGAAATCTTTTTTTGACACTATTTACTGCTATTTATTGTGGGAATGGGGAAAAAAAGAAGCATGTGGTCAGTTAGCACTGTCATGTCGTCCCTTCTTATCGCTACTAGGGGGCACACATGCGTGGGAGCTCGGCGCTGCGGTTACATTAATTAATAAATAAAACGCCTCAAAAGTACTCAATTCACTTTAACTTTTCAGACTGATGACTTTTCTCAGCATTCACACGCAAATCCCACCGCAAGTACAATTTCTAGTGGTAAATCTAAATGTACAAGCCATGAATACAAATACCCTAAAAAAAAGTGTGCTCGGAAATATCACAAATCACAAGTTGTATTGGCTTTTTCCAGCCTCCAGGCAAGTCTGGTTTGACTTTGCCACTCCATAAAGATTCTGGGAGGCTGAGGTACTATTTGGCCGGAACATAAGCTGGAAAAAGAGGAAATAAATCCTTCTACAGCTGCATTACGGCGAACCTTTGCGTAGGCGGCTCCCGCTCAGCACTTCCAATTGGAGCCATGTTGTTGCTTCGGTGGCGACGCAGTGACGTCAGCTTTCTGTGTTTTCAGTCTTTCGCCACTATGAGACGTCCAATTACAAATGGAATAAAACTCCACTGTGGCAGACATGTTGGAAAATGTGTCCTGGATAGTCCCAGTTCAGGATTTTTGTTTTTAAACTCCGTATTAATACCTCATATTTTATCCTCTTGTGATTAGAGAACAATGTAGCCCTTTATAGGGGAAGAAATATATTTGGCAACTTAAATTTGAGCATAAATGGTAGCCACAGGCCTCGCTACAAATCACTTATCCCAGCAAAGAAAGGGAATAGTAAGAATGAAATATGATATGATGAAATATAACAAAGAAAATACACTATACCTGATTACCACAATTATAAAGTATTTAGATAGATAATGTAAACATTGGATAGTTGAGCACAGCAAATACAATCATACTCAGATGCACATATTCTTTATCCTCTGCAAAAAAAAAAGGACTAATATTACTATGACAAACTGAAGTTGCGGATCTTTGTGTTTGCATGACTGAATCATATTGCCCCCCAGTGGCCAAGTCACACAAGCCAGCGGCTGCAATTAATCATGTTGCACAAACCCTTGAATCATTTACATTCTATTTCATTAATTTATTTTGGCATGTTTATACAAATCGAGCGTTTTCAATCTTTTTAGCGGTGACAGATAATTTGAGACACAAGCGGGCTCGTGGCCCATCCGATATTATGATTCAATATCTGAAGGGTCATTGCGGGGCCTTGGGAGCCCCTTGAGTGCTCATAATCTTGACCTTCGTGTCCTTTCCCATGAAGCAATGCTCACTCACCTTTGCCTTGCCGTGACTCCTCAATCTTCTCAAAGTCCCGTGACTGCAAGTGCACGTTGGAAGCTGCCGTCGTCCGAGAGGGCGCCACGCCGGCCTGCCTCAGATTTGCGACCTCGGGTCTCGCATTGACGGGTCCCGGCGCCGCGCTGGCGGTAGCGGGCCTCACGATGACAGCGTTGCTTCTCCTGGGAAGCCTGGGCTTCTCTTCCTGAAGAGGGAGGGGGAAAAAAAATTAAATGTTGGGAGGAAGACAACAAGTGTAGACAGGTAAATCATGTACAGTTGAATCACTTCCACTGTGATGACTCATCCAACTGCCCTTCTCTACAGTAACGAAGGACACAAACAGCCCGATGACCACTAATTAAGGCTTTAATTATATGCTGGAAGAAAATGATGAGGCCTTGGAAATCAAGCCGCCGCGCTATAATCTTTCACGCTGATCTTGCGCCAGTTTAATCAACAATTTCACTTCCTCGCCTCTTAATCAGATGGACAAACCTACAGAAGGCTCTGCAGCTGCAGCAGTCAACCCACTTTTTTTTTCCGGCAGAAACTAATAATTCTGCAGCGGAACCTCCACATTTGAACGAAATAAAGGTTGTACACGTTGGAAACGGACCACAATTTGTGATCGAGGCTTCACAGGTCAGTCACACACAAAAAAAGTCAATTTTTCGTCTCGCGTGACATGTCAGAAAAGCTCATGAAACTCGGCTGAGGGGTTCAATTGAAAGCCTACTCCAATTTTTGCTTGACTTCTGTTCAAACTAGCCATGCAAAAAAATCAGTTAAAAATTGCACGATATTACACTGAGTGACACGCCGAGATGTCAAAAGATGGTACCTCATACTTTTATTGCTTTTGCCTGAGCAGGAAAAAAAAAGTGAATACTGGAAGTCAGGTTTAAGAATAAAACGTGCCAAAGAGTGAATGAGTGGGTCTTCACTGCATCTATTTCAGTTGCTTCTTATGGGAACCATTTTAAGAGGCCAATGAGCATTTGGAGTTAAAAATTCTGGAGGGGGGAAAAAAAAAAGATGTTCGCCAAACTATTCTAATGCGTCCATGCTAAATGCATCAGCATGGCTTGAGGAACAAATGAAGGAGAACAGAGATTTCGACTCGCCCTAAAAACCTCTGGGGACATTCCCGCCATCCCATCCATCTGCGAGTGACGCGTCCCACTAATTCCCCGATCAAGTTCATCAACCATCTGTTCTTGGGCGGCCCAAATATCCCGCCTCGCCTCTTTTCCTTCAGCTTCTTCTGCCTGTGTGTGTGTGTGTGCGTGTGTGCGTGTGTCACCTGCACGGGTGAAGCGTGCAGTATTAAAAAGTGAGGCAGCGAAAAGTCATTCTCCCCCGGCTTGGGGGTGCAGTCGAGTTCAGCTGTTCCAAATGCAGAAAGCTATGCAGCGCTCTCGGTAGAGCCCGGCGCGTGAAAAGTAGAGTGCCGGGAGAAAGGTGATATGCAAAGACGCGGCGAGTGAAAGGACCACAAGCTGAACCACAGCTTCCTGTTATTGGCAAGGAAGTGAAAACGATCTGATAAGACCCAGCCGCTGGGGGGCAGTGCCCTCCCCTGGGGGTGCACTGTTCCCCAGTGCCGGTCCCAAGCCCGGAGAAATGGGGAGGGTTGCGTCAGGAATGGCATCCGGCGTAAAACTTTTGCCAAGACGACCATGCGAGTTGGTAGGACGGTTTACAGGGGCGGATGGAAATTACTGACTCGCTGTGGCGACCCCTGAATAGGGACGTGCCGAAAGGAGAAGAAGAAGAAGAAGAAAGTATTTTTTTAAATAAATTCCCAGCATAGATAATAAATAATCATAAACTATTACAGTACATCTTAAGCGCGTTAAACTGTGTGCATTTATCCCTCCAAATACCTTGTGTGCAGTTGCAGACGCGGATGCTGGTGAATGCTCACTCACTGACACCTGTGGGCGCAACAAAGACATTACACGAGGGTTGCGCATGACGTAATTCAAGCGCCGGACACACAAAGACATCAGGGCAATATGGCAACTCACCGCCAGGGGGTGTAAAGTGCTCGCCTCCTCATATTTGGCCTAGTGGGACGACACGAAACACTTCATTTTATTATTTGAGTGTGTTCACAAAGAAACTGTGAGAATGCTTTTCGGACGTGGACTGTTCAGCGGCCTCATCCACGACTGAAAACCACGACGACCATGTTACAAAATAAAATACAAAAAACGCAAAGAATGAATACAAGAATCATAGTTAATCACATCAATTCCGAACCTCGACTCTACATTATTGCAGTTCACAATCAACATGTATCTTATAGCATGACCAAAACCATCCTCATTTGCTAGCTATGAAGCCAAAGAGATAGCTAGTTTTTGCTGTTCTGGGAGTGGCCCAAAAAATACTTTTACAAGTTGAAAAAGGCAACCAGCTGACTTAGTTAGGCTCACAAGTTTTTCTGGAATAAGTCGCCCTGAAACTGTACTTTCAATAATACCTGACATTCATCCTCTCCTGCAATCAACTCCGTGTAATTATGAATTGCATTGTCTCAAGCAGCTTTGTTCAACAGAAAATGACGACATCACTCTTTGCCTTTGTGAAGTTCAAAAGAGTGTTGACTGTTAAATCTGACTGGTTAAAAAAAAAAAAAAAAATGAAGCGACCATAATCAACAGTGTAAGTGTCGACACAGCACGGGAGATTCTGAAGGCCTTTGGCAAATTACATTTACATGGTAACACAAAGAAGCTGAAATCTGATTGGACCAAAAAAAAAAAAAAAAGCCCACAAATTACTGAAAGCTGCCTCGCCAAGACAGATGTGAAATGAAGATAATAGACTTGGAAATTCATGAACGGAACTCATTTAAGTTGTAAAGTCCTGGCTGCATACGTACGTACAAATAGTATGCTACGTAGTCGATACTGAAAAGAAAAGCCTTTTTTTTTAATGTGTGCTGCTTGGCTACGTGCACAGGTTGCGGTGACAACCCTTTTTTTTTTTTTTTTTTTTTCCATACTGAAAGCTGCCTCGCCAAGACAGATGTGAAATGAAGATAATAGACTTGGAAATTCATGAACGGAACTCATTTAAGTTGTAAAGTCCTGGCTGCATACGTACGTACAAATAGTATGCTACGTAGTCGATACTGAAAAGAAAAGCCTTTTTTTTTAATGTGTGCTGCTTGGCTACGTGCACAGGTTGCGGTGACAACCCTTTTTTTTTTTTTTTTTGTGCCAGACAAGAAGGGGAAAAGGGAACCCGCACCAG